CAAACCCACCAGCCACTCCTTGGAAGGAAGGTTGGGCAATTTACTTCCATAGTGATACTGTCTCGGATGGCACATAACAACAGCATCACTACGGATGTAGATTGCCCAACCTTCCTTTTGAGGAGTGGCTGGTGGGTTTGAATGACCAGGCTTCTGGTTAGCAGTCAAATGCCTTAAACACTACTGCACCACAGCTTCCAGTTCAAAGCCAGGCTTAAAACAAAACAAAAACCAAACCCAAGGCAGACTCAGGCTTAAGTTAAATTTCAAAAGGTTTCATGGCTGCAGGTGGGTAGTGGGCCAGGGACTACCCTGTAATCTGTTAACAACTGATCTTAGTAAAAGCGGTAGGGGAGGGCCGGGTTAACCTTGTAAAGATCAGCCAAGGGCTGGTCTATTCTTCTCTTTCTTCTTTTGCAAAATTCATTGTAAACAGCCTACTTAGAGTTATTTGCATTTTTCTTAAAATCAGAATCGTCTCCCTATATGCACATAAAACAACTGGGCAGAATAAACCTTGTTTCAAATCCTTTGAGTTTTGATTATTTTAACAAAAGGTAAAAAGGAGAACACACTTATAATTTCAATTTTGAGTGAATACAGTGAAGCTGTGCTACTAGATCAGACCCTCTTAGCTGAGGAGCATATTCTTTAGCCACTCTGCAAAATCTGCAGTACATTTGCAAGCCTAATCACCCTCAAAAGCCTAGAAATAAATAAAGTCCCTTAGGTAAGGCATGATATTTAGAAAGATACATACTCAGTTATTGCCAGTTCCTGAACAAATGGATAGTATGTAGCTGCGCAGCTAGGGAAGACACAAGCTTCTGAGGACTCTGACCACACCACATTTAGCCCAGCAAATTTGGGAACAAACGGTTTGACATCTGCTGATAACTTGATGCCCTGAGGAAAAAAAGGGGGTTTGGGCTACATACATTCAGGGATCAACCAAAAGCAAACAAAAAAACAGAGGGATTTAGTTCTATTACTCCCAGAAATGCTAATCCAGGGCTGATGTTCAAACACTTAGGCCTACCAATTTCTTCCCAGTGTTTTATTATTAGAAAAAGTAGTCTTAAAAATGTTGAAAGTGAAAAACAAGGGCAACAAATCAAAGGTGGAAATGAAACTCAAACCAAATTATAAAAGGTAAAACCACACTAACATTGGCTTAGTCTTCAACTTGGAATAATGCTATTTTTACCTCAACTTCGATTAGGGATAACCAACTATTGTAGCACTGCTGCCAAATATACGCATGGAATGCTTAACTTAGCGCTCAAATACACTGCAAACGCTTATTTCCATGAAATTTCTCATGTCATAAAAAACGTATTATTTTTACTGAAATTTTAAGTCTTGTTTTTTTGTAAAGCAAAAGCGGGCTTTGCTACGAAATCATCTGCAATGAGCCCCTGGAATCGCAATTAGTTTTATTTTATTTTTTGATATATAGTAAGAGATTTGTTTGTACTAAGAATTCTATAAGCACTCCCTTCAATTAAAACTGGTTTATGCGATTGCCAGCGCTTCATCTAGGGTAGCGCTGAGTATGTAGAGTGAGTACTTCAACGTTTTAAAAAAACTAAGATGTTTTAAAATAAACTATCTCTTCTTAAAAGTGTAGTAAGCTTACACCATTTCACACGCCCTGACGAAATCCTCGGCATGTACGAAGGTGGCAGTCAGCTGTTTATATCTAGCACTATATTAAATATACTTCTAAAAGCTGGAAGGTGTTTGCGATCCCTAGAAAACTGGCGACTGCCGGCCGGCCACGCTTACGCACTGGAGCCGTCATCCGCCTCCGGCCTAATACCGCCAGCGGCAGTGAAGGCAAGACACATCGCTGAGCTCCTGCAGACCATCACCGTCAGACAAAGACTCGGGAAGCTCCTGCCCCTTCGTCTGCCTGCGGCTGGTCAACCCAGGCCCTGAGCGGAGCTGAGGCCTTGGAGAGAGCAACCAAAGCCCCTGGGAGACAGGTGGGAGCCGCGGATTCCCAGCCGTTCTGGGCCCACCCGCAGGGGCTAAGGCAGACCCCTAGTGGCCTCACCTCGTCTTCGGGCTCTCGCGGCCGCTCCGACGCCATGGCGGGCGGATCGGACAGAGCCCCACCGGGAGAGGCCAGCAGCCGCCCCGGCGGCTAGCTGGACTGACTACTCGACGTTTCTTTCCCCTGCTGTTTCGCCTTTGGAGGAGACGCCAGGAAGTGCGTCACAAAAACGCGACTGGGCCCACCCCCTTCCCGGCCGGAAGTGCGCGTTAGGGTAGTGGAAGGGCTCCACGTGGTGCCTGTTTGTGCTGCCCCGGTAGGCTGGACCTGACTGTAGGGTGCGGCGCGCTGGGACAAGATTGGCAGCGTTGCGTCGGGAATCCTGCCTGTTGCGAATCCTATTCACAACTTCTGCATACAAAAGAGTCTAATACCTGCTCAGAAGTGTTGGATTATATAGGAAAAAACCAAAACCAAACCAAAAAAACTAAATTCACTGCCGTCAAGGCACCGGCAATTAAACACAGGATATTTAGGCCTGAAGGCAATAAATACACTTGTGTCACTTAGCAGGCTCTGGCGTAAGAGAATATGGATAGTTTGGCTTCTTGGATAGGTTGGTCAGGGAGGGATTCTCGCTGAGGTGACCTTTGAACCTTCCGCTGAAGAAGGAGCAAAAGGTTTCTTTAACAAAAGTACCTATGCCAACGCTATGAGGCTAACTACTTTGCACCTCTCACGCCCACCACACACCAGAATTGCAGTTCCTCAATGTGGTGGATTCTGGTCATTTCATGTTGTTAAGAGTCTTAAAGACCTGAGAAACTGTTGAGCCCGGAAAGGAATGTCAGCGCGAGGAAGTCACCACAGACATGATAATGCAAAAGCAAAAGGAAAGTTTATTAGCTAGCTCGAGCTAGGGTCCCTGCTCTTGCCAATGCAGTGGCCAAGGCAAAAGACCTTGTGCTCCATTATTATCACATTTTTATAGGAAAATATAGGGTGGAGTAGCACCAGGGCAAAGGGGTACAGATGATTGGTTGTTGCTAAGGGGTTTAAGGCAGGGATCTGAGATGTTGGGGGACGTGTTGGAATCTCCCAGCTCCAAAGTCTATTTAGGGAATTATTATCTAGGGGGGATGCAGAGCCCTGATAAGTGGGAGACTTCGGGAGCCAGGTAAATCTCTGATACGCGCTGAATCCGGAGGAAATCTCTGATACATGCTGAGTCCGGAGGGTAGATAAAAGCCCTGAGGCATGGGGAGTGTTAGAATCCCAAACACTGAAAGACTTCTGGTTAAAGATACACTTGGAGGCCATTAGGACTCAGGCCTCACAAAACCAAGACTAAGGTTATTAGTATTGTAAACTTCCAGGCATAGTGCCTAAGGCACTTGACTGCTAACCAGAAGGCTGGCGGTTCAAACCCACCAGCCACTCCTCGGAAGGAAGGTTGGGCATTCCTACTTCCGTAGTGATACTGCCTTGGAAACCCAAGGAGGGGTCACTATGAATCGGGCCGACTCGATGACAAATAACAACAACAACAACAAACTTCCAGGAGTCCCTCGATGGTACTCCAGATGGTGAGGCCTGAGTCCTAATGGCCTCCAGGTATATCTTTAACCAGAAGTCTTTCAGTGTCGGGGATTCAAACACTCCCCATGCCTCAGGGCTTTTATCTACCCTCCGGACTCAGCATGTATCAGAGATTTCCTCCGGATTCAGTGTGTATCAGAGGTTTACCTGGCTCCTGAAATCTCCCGCGTATCAGGACTCTGCATCCTCCCTAGATAATAATTCCCTAAGTGGACTTTGGAGCCGGGGGATTCCAACACGTCCCCCAACATCTCAGATCCTTGCCCTAAAACCCCTTAGCAACAACCAATCATCTGTACCCCTTTGCCCTGGTGCTACTCCACCCTATATTTTCCTATAAAAATGTGGTAGTAACAGAGCACAAGGTCTTTTGCCTTGTCTACTGCGTTGGCAAGAGCAGGGACCCTAGCTCGAGCTAGCTAATAAACTTTCCTTTTGCTTTTGCATTATCGTGTCTGTGGTGACTTCCTCGCGCCGACATTCCTTTCTGGGCTCAACAGTACAAAAATTAATGTGCCTGGCTGGTAACTGGAAGTTAGTGGTTTGAGTCTACCAAGAAGTGCTTTGAAAGAAAGGCCTGATAATCTACTTCTGAAAATACAGCCATTGAAAACCCTAGGGAGCAGAATTCTACTCTGACATGTAAGGGATTGCCATGAGTTGGAATCAGTTCCACAGCAACTGGTTTAGTCCTGTTTATTAAATTTTCAGACTCTCAAAGCAGTTTGGAGATAACCACTGAACAGAACTTAATTTCAAAATTGCTCGGTTCTTTTCAACAGCTAATGAACATAAGGACCAATGAGCAGCATCACAATAAATGGAGAGACGATTGAGGTTGTCAAGAAATTCACGTTGCTTGTTCTACAATCAATGCCAACGGAAGCAGAAGTCAGGACATTAGATGACGTGTAGCATTGGGAAAGTCAACTGCGAAGGAACTGTTTCAACTGCTGAGGAGCAAGGATATCTCCTTGAGGACTAAGGTGCGCCTGACACAAGCCATGATATTTCCAATCGCCTGGTATGCATGTGAGAGCTGGACAATGAATAAGGAAGACCGAAGAAGAGTTGATGCTTTTGAGTTGTGGTGCTGGCGGAGAATGCTGAAAGTACCCACCAGCCACTCCTCGGAAGGAAGGTTGGGCAACCCTACTTCCGTAGTGATACTGCCTCGGAAACCCAAGGAGGGGTCGCTATGAGTCGGGGCCGACTCGACGGCAAACAACAACAACAACAACAACAACCATGAACTGCTAAAAGAACTAAGATCTGTCCTGGAGGAAGTGCAGCCAGAATCCTCCTTGGAAGCAAGAATGGCCAGACTTCGTCTCACCTATTTTGATCATGTTGTAAGAAGGGACCATTCCCTGGAGAAGGATGTCATGCTTGGTAGGGTGGAGGGTCGACAAAAGTGGGGGAGCCCTTCAAGGAGATGGATTGATATGGTGGCTGCGATGATGGGCTCAAGATGATGGGCAGTGTTTCATTCTGCTGTGCATGGGGTCACTATGGGTCGGAAACGACTCGACAGCACTTAACAACAACAACAACATTGAACATAAAAATTGTGCTAGGGTAAGACAGAGGATGATGGAACAGTATGGTTTTGTGGATACAAAAAAAGGCATCACAAATTTGCTCTTGCATAGAAGCCTTAAGTACTGTGAGAACAAGGTTGACAAGGTTCACTGATTGGAAGAGGTACAGGGAAAGGCGGTAGAGTGGGTTTCAATAGACAGCAGGGAGAAAGTAGAGTGAAAAGGGTGAACGGCTTGCCCAGAGGCTTGCGAGTTAAGATTTAAAGGATGGAAATCATTTGCCTGATACACAGACTAAGGAAAAGGGGGTTATTAGGTTAAAAATTTTAGTTTGGAGGCAAATTTTAAGAGGCACCCATACTTCTAGGAGAATGAAAGTTCTTAAGGTCCAGCAGGAAACTGCTGGAAGTTGAGGGAGAGCCTATGACTACTCTTAATCCCTAGATGGAGATAATCCTCTTTGGCCTAGCCTAGGGTGTAAAGGTTGTGTACCATTGAGTTGATTCCAATTTACCAAACATGACAGACCAGAACTGCTCCATTGGTTCTTCTAGGCTGTAATCTTTACAGAAGCCGACTGCCACATCTCTCAGGGAGCAGCTGGTGGGTTTGAACCACTGACTTTTCAATTAGTAGCTGAGTGCTTAACTATTACGTTGCTAGGGCTACTTTCCAATGATTACTGTGGCCCTCTCTAGATAGGTTCATGACCCTCCCCAGGCTGCTGCTCATCATCACCTTTCAATACATAATTATATATTATCTATGTAAAAGGAATTCCTTTCTAAAGAGAAACAAAAAGAGACCAAGCCTGGAAGTCTTATACTTAATGGTTGGCTCATTTAAAGCTACTTTGGCAGGGACCTGACTACCACTGAGGGGAGACAGGAGTGTGCCACGTCCTTTGGACCCAAGATGCCTGCACTGAGAACCTCCTCGAACCAGGAGAAAGTGAACTATAACACCAGGGAGAAGGCAATAAGCGGAGCCAGAGATTCAGCACAGAACCAGATCAGTTAAGAGATGGCAGTGTGGTGGGCTTCCCAGCTATGGAGCAAAAAAGCTGAGTGCCTTCAGGGTGGGGTGCCTCTGGGCACTGGTTGAGCTAAGTTTGCAAACCTACAAAAGGAGAGCTAAGTACCTCTTGTGCCAGTAGGGTGCCTCTGGGCACTTATCAGTAGAGCTGAAAGAGCTTTGTTAAGTAGTAGTACCTGAGCAAGTGTCAAAAAGGGCCAAGGGGTGGAAGAGTCAGAGACAGGTGTGCCTATGGACACTACTAAGAGCCTGTCCTGATCAAGTATCTGTATCCTTGTTTCTCATCCTGAATTGTAACCTGTAGACCCACTGCAATGAGTCAATTCCTACCCACAGCAATCCTATAGAACAGAGCAGAACTGTCCCAGAGGATTTCCAAGACTGCAAATCTTTAAGGATGGGGACTGCATTTCATCTTCCTCCCATGGAATGACTGATGGGCTCAAACCAGACTTTTTGGTTAAGCCAATAATCTTGAAAAAAATAAATCCACTCCTTACTTTTTTAAACATGTCTTTCTTTGGCTCTTAAATTCTTAGTGAATTAAATGGGGTCATAAAACCAGCCTCTAGTCAAAATGTGAGCTTATTCTCTCCTAGACTAGGAGTAGTCTTGAGGGGGCCCTGAGTAGAAGATGGTTTCTGCCTGCAAAGGACTCTGGGAGAGAAGTCAGTGACTTGGGCCAGGAAAAAACATCAAATACATGACTTCATGGTAATGTCAATTGCAACCTATTAAATAGCAAAAAAACACACTTCCCTAGCCCCAGCTCCCCCTACATGTAAGTGAGATACATAAACACCCACCCCTATTGTGCATGGACCTCTGTGGTATAGTAAATTACCTGGTATGGCTTTTCTAGCCATAAGTCTCCGTAAACTCCATGGTGGAATTTGCTGTGAGAAACTGAGTAGTTTCTGA